CTAGAGAAGTTCCTTTAGCATTTGTTGTAAAGCTGGTTTGGTGGTGCTGAACTCTCTCAGCTTTTGTTTGTCTGTAAAGGTTTTAATTTCTCCATCAAATCTGAATGAGATCCTTGCTGGGTAGAGTAATCTTGGTTGTAGGTTTTTCTCCTTCATCACTTTAAATATGTCCTGCCAGTCCCTTCTGGCTTACAGAGTTTCTGCTGAAAGATCAGCTGTTAACCTTATGGGGATTCCCTTATGAGTTATTTGTTGTTTTTCCCTTGCAGCTTTTAATATGTTTTCTTTGTATTTAATTTTTGTCAGTTTGATTAATATGTGTCTTGGCGTGTTTCTCCTTGGATTTATCCTGTATGGGACTCTCTGTGCTTCCTGGACTTGATTAACTATTTCCTTTTCCATATTAGGGAAGTTTTCAACTATAATCTCTTCAAATATTTTCTCAGTCCCTTTCTTTTTCTCTTCTTCTTCTGGGACCCCTATAATTTGAATGTTGGTGTGTTTAAGGTTGTCCCAGAGGTCTCTTGAGACTGTCCTCAGTTCTAATTCTTTTTTCTTTATTCTGCTCTGTGGTAGTTATTTCCACTATTTTATCTTCCAGGTCACTTATCCTTTCTTCTGCCTCAGTTATTCTGCTATTGATCCCTTCTAGAGAATTTTTAATTTCATTTATTGTGTTGTTCATCATTGTTTGTTTGCTCTTTAGTTCTTCTAGGTCCTTGTTAAATGTTTCTTGTATTTTCTCTATTGTATTTCCAAGATTTTGGATCATCTTTACTGTCATTATTCTGAATTCTTTTTCAGGTAGACTGCCTATTTCCTCTTCATTTGTTTGGTCTGGTGGGTTTTTATCTTGCTCCTTCATCTGCTGTGTGTTTTTTTGTCTTCTCATTTTGCTTATCTTACTGTGTTTGGGGTCTCCTTTTCACAGGCTGCAGGTTCGTAGTTCCTGTTGTTTTAAGTGTCTGTCCCAAGTGGCTAAGGTTGGTTCAGTGGGTTGTGTAGGCTTCCTGGTGGAGGGGACTAGTGCCTGTGTTCTGGTGGATGAGGCTGGATCTTGTCTTTCTGGTGGGCAGGACCACGTCTGGTTTTGTGTTTTTGGGTGTCTGTGGCCTTATTATGATTTTAGGCAGCCTCTCTGCTAATGGGTGGGGTTGTGTTCCTGTCTTGCTAGTTGTTTGGCATAGGGTGTCCAGCACTGTAGCTTGCTGGTCGTTGAGTGAAGCTGGGTTTTGGCGTTGAGATGGAGATCTCTGGGAGATTTTCGCCGTTTGATATGACGTGGAGCTGGGAGGTCTGTTGTGGACCAGGGTCCTGAAGTTGGCTCTCCCACCTCAGAGGCACAGCACTGACTCCTGGCAGCAGCACCAAGAGCCTTTCATCCACATGGCTCAGAATAAAAGGGAGAAAAAATAGAAAGAAAGAGGATAAAATAAAATAAAGTTATTAAACTAAAAAATATTAAGAAAAAAAATTTTAAGTAAAAAACAACAACAACAAAAAAATGGATGGATAGAATCCTAGCACAAATGGTGAAAGCAAAAGCTATACAGAGAAAATCTCACACAGAAGCATAGACATACACACTCACAAAAAGAGGAAAAGGGGAAAAAATAATACATCTTTGCTCCCAAAGTCCATCTCCTCAATTTGTGATGATTCATTGTCTATTCGGGTATTCCACAGATGCAGGGCACATCAGGTTGATTGTGGAGATTTAATCCGCTGCTTCTGAGGCTTCTGGGAGAGATTTCCCTTTCTCTTGTTTGTTCGCACAGCTCCCGGGGCTCAGCTTTGGATTTGGCCCCGCCTCTGCGTGTAGGTTGCCTGAGGGCGTTTGTTTTTCGCTCACACAGGACAGGGTTAAAGGAGCAGCTGCTTTGGGGGCTCTGGCTCACTCAGGCCAGGAGGAGGGAGGGGTGCGGATGTGGGGTGAGCCTGCGGTGGCAGAGGCCAGCGTGATGTTGCACCAGCCTGAGGCGCACCGTGCGTTCTCCCGGGGAAGTTGTCCCTGGATCCCGGGACCCTGGCAGTGGCGGGCTGCACAGGCTCCCCGGAGCGGAGGTGTGGAGAGTGACCTGTGCTCGCACACGGGCTTCTTGGTGGCGGCAGCAGCAGCCTTAGCGTCTCATGCCCGTCTCTGGGGTCCATGCTTTTAGCCGCAGCTCGCGCCCGTCTCTGGAGCTCCTTTAAGCAGTGCTCTGAATCCCCTCTCCTGGCGCACCAGGAAACAGAGGGAAGAAAAAGTCTCTTGCCTCTTCGGCATCTCCAGACCTTTTCCCGGACTCCCTCCCGGCTAGCTGTGGCGCACTAGCCCCCTTCGGGCTGTGTTCACGCAGCCAACCCCAGTCCTCTCCCTGGGATCTGACCTCCGAAGCCCGAGCCTCAGCTCCCAGCCCCCGCCCACCCCGGCGGGTGAGCAGACAAGCCTCTTGCACTGGTGAGTGCTGGTCAGCACTGATCCTCTGTGCGGGAATCTCTCTGCTTTGCCCTCCGCACCCATGTTGCTGCGCTCTCCTCCATGGCACCGACGCTTCCCCCTCTCCACCGCCCGCAGTCTCCGCCCCCGGAGGGGCTCCTAGTGTGTGGAAACCTTTCTTCCTTCACAGCTCCCTCCCACTGGTGCAGGTCCTATCCCTATTCTTTCGTCTCTTTTTTCATTTTTCTTTTGCCCTACCTGGGGAGTTTCTTACCTTTTGGGAGGTCTGAGGTCTTCTGCCAGCGTTAAGTAGGTGTTCTGTAGGAGTTGTTCCACATGTAGATGTATTTCTGATGTATCTGTGGGGAGGAAGGTAATCTCTGTGTCTTACTCTTCCGCCATCTTGAAGCTCCCTTTTGGCTTATTTCTTTACAGTGTTTTCTTTTTCCCTTTTAATGTTTATTATTAACTTGGTTAAGACCGTACTGTATGGGGTTTTGTAGGCCACTTTCTCACTGATAATTATATCACTGACATTTTTGTGTTATTAAATAATCTGCATAAATACAAGTTGAACATATAAAAAAATCTCAAGTCACAAAAACTGTTCTCATTTTATTAAGAGATTTAGAAAATGGAACATGCTATTTATTCTTGGGCTGTGGCCAAGAGGAGTAATTGCTTCCACATTCTCTCTATACATGAAAACCATCCACTCTGAGGTGCAGCTGTAGCCATGCTCTATACATCTGTTATGCTTTTCGTTTTCTGGTCTGATAAGCTTGTTCATCTCCCCCATGCTGCTTTCAGCAGTTGCCGTGACACCAGGTGACAGCTGGATTTGGTGATTTCTTGTCTTATTGCTTAAGGCAGCAACGCTCCATTCAGCAGCGGCTTAGTTGCTGCTCCTTTGCACATGTGAGGCCTGCCAGAGCCCAGCTTCCGGGCTGGTGAGAGCTCCTTCATTCACCAAGTGATTATTGATCATCCCTTGACCTCTGTCCTGGGGGTGTAAAGGTGACGACCCAGTCCTGCCCCATGCAGCTCACAGTGTAGGCATTTGTTTGCAAGTGAACAGAGTACAGAGTGCCGTGATTGACCCTCAGAGGGCGGCTAACTCAGTTGGCCCAGGGAGTCTGAGCAAGGCTCCACAGAGGAGATTGTGCTTGAGCTGAGATCTTCCGCCGATGAGCCACTGACTTACAACTACTTTTATACGGCCTCTCTTGTTTTCTTTCTTTCTTCTTGACAATCAGAGCTACCCTGGATCAATTTTAGCATAGATGTAACCCGGGTGAGCTTGGTGTAAGGTATGCTGGTGTCTGGCCTGCTTGGTGTGGTCAGAGGCTCCCAGGGGGAAGAGGGAGGTGGTTGTGGCGCAGGAGATGCATCCACATAGCCAGTGGCCCGGGAGGATGGCGGATCCCCTGGGGGAGGGTGGAGCATCGGGGGGGAGGGGAGTGACAAGATCTGATCATGTCAGGCCCCAGACAAAGAGGCTGGCTTCCAGCTGATTGGGGGGAGGGGGAGACCCGAATCCTGTGTGGGACCACCAGTCGGGGCATGGAGGTGCTGTGTCGTGAGAGATCCACAGGCACCCACAGCATGTCCTTCAGATCAAGCAGTTCTCTGGTTCCTGGCAGTATCCTGTGGGGTGCAGCTTGGAAGCCCAGCAGGGAAGGCGAGGCATGCAATCCCAGTTGCAGCAGAGTGGCTGCATTTGGAGCACCCTCTGCAGGCAGTAAGTGCTTACCATTATCTCTGTCAGCACTGGCCTAGGGCCTGGCCTCTTCTGGATCCTGCTGTTGGGATCAGTGGAACTTTAGGAAGGACGGAGGGGTGGGGTGTGGCATGTCACAGAACCCCCAGCCACATAAAAAGTACTGGGAATAATATGTGTCTTTTCCTAAAGAACTCGGAGTGGTGTGCAGGTGTTGCAAGCCTCCTAGCCGTGTTGTTCCGGTGTAGCTGTTTGAATGGTGGGGCGGAAGGACCTGGAAAATGCTAGTGTCTGAGCAGACTTGTGTGCAGCCTTTTTTTTTTTTTTAAATTAATTTTTATTGGAGTATAGTTGCTTTACAATGTTGTGTTAGTTTCTGCTCTACAGCAAAGTGAATCAGATATATATATACATATATCCCCTCCTTTTTGGATTTCCTTCCCATTTAGGTCACCACAGAGCACTGACTAGAATTCCCTGTGCTATACAGTAGGTTCTCATTGGTTATCTGTTTTATACATAGTAGTGTATATGTGTCAATCCCCTCGTCCCAATTCATCCCACCCCCCCTTTCCCGCTGTTACCCATATGTCCTCTACGTCTGTGCCTCTATTTCTGCTTTGCAAATGAGTTCATCTGTATCGTTTTTCTAGATTCCACATATAAGCGATACTATACAACATTTGTTTTTCTCTTCCTGACTTACTTCACTCTGTATGACAGTCTCTAGGTCTAGCCACGTCTCTGCAAATGGCACAGTTTTGTTCCTTTTTATGGCTGAGTAATATTTATGTGCAGCCTTTAAGAATGTAGTCTTTTGATTCTGTAAATGAACATTTGTTAAAATTATTTTTTTCCTAGATAATCCCCTACGTTGGGACCATTTCTGAGCAGCTGGAGCCTGGAACTTTGATTGTACTACGTGGGCATGTTCCTAGTGACTCAGACAGGTAAAGTCATTCTGTTAGATGAGAAGAGAACAAGAATAAACTCGTTGTGATTGTGGGACAACAAAAAATCATGAGGGAGAGACCATTTGGATACTCGGAGGCCTGATTTTGCTTTCATAGCAGCCCCGGCCAAGGTGCTGAGGAAATGGGAATGAAAAACTGAAATACAGGTTATTTGGACTTTTTGTTGCTGTAAGTCTGATTGTAGTATAAAGAATTAGAGATACGGTTAATGAAGGGAACTGTGGTCAGATGACAGGGACACAGTCTAGTTACAGTGTAACATTCCCACACCATCTCTTAAGGCCTGTTCTGGGTGGTTTTATCTAATGCTTGCTTTGGGTAGAGTCTGGACGAGGCTGTATCAGCTAGAGTTGGGCTCGGCTCTGTGTGGTGGATGCCTGAACAACAGTGGTTTAAATAAGATGTGAACATGACATCTAAAGGGGACAGTCTGGAGGGCTGAGGGCGCACGCCAGCAAGCTGTTGGAGGAGTGGGCCTCTTCATGCACTCACCCTGCCATGCCAGGGTGAGGTCCTCTTTCTCGTGGTTCCTGGAAGCTAGGACTCTGGTCCTCACGTTGTGTTTGGGTAGCTGCCTGGGACTGTGTGCTATTTGGGGGGAAGGGGTGGGGGGTGGACAGAAGGCAGATGCCAACTGACTTTAGAGACCGTTTCCAGGAATCTTCCTTGCACACTTCACTTCTACCCCATCGGCAGAGCTTGGGGCACCTGGGCGAACGCACCTGCGGGGAGACTGGGCAATGTGGGTGCTTGTGGTGGACCGCCACCAAAAGCATGTGAGTGAACAGAAGATCCGTCAGCTGTCACTCGGCCTGGGTTTCTGCGCTGCCGGGCCTGCGAGGCCGCCTTCCTCCCTGAGTCCTCACGCAGCCTGTGTTTCCTCCCCTCCTCAGGTTCCAGGTGGACTTACAGTGTGGCAGCAGCGTGAAACCTCGAGCGGACGTGGCCTTTCATTTCAATCCACGGTTCAGAAGGGCCAACTGCATTGTTTGCAACACTCTGAAAAATGAGAAGTGGGGCTGGGAAGAGATCACCTATGACATGCCTTTCAATAAAGAAAAATCTTTTGAGATCGTGATCATGGTGCTGAAAGACAAATTCCAGGCAGGTTTTGGAGAACAGGGGTTAGATCCTCATTCATGAGAATAAGCACGAGGGAAGCTTTTCACATGAGTGAACTCACCCTTGCGTGTCCTAAATCCAGAGGAAGAGTTTGCCTTTATCATGTTCCTCTAGAGGAGGGCCCGGCGGGGCCCTTGCTGTGAGGCGGGCACAGCCAGCATCCCTGCCGGGGTCGCCGTGCTGGCAGAGGGCGAGGCCAGCGCAGCGGGAGTTTGTTAGATCATTGCTCCTCGCAGGGCTGAGCTTCCTTCTGACCTGGCACAGCCTTACACTCAGGATGGGAAAGTAAACCCCAGGCAGCAGGACCCGCAGGGTGGGAGAGTCTGAACTGACAGATGGGATCCTGGCGTGGGAGTCGGGGTTTGTAAAGTTGCATCCTGCCGCAGCCTAGTCCCGTAGGATCTTGAGATTCTAGACCCAGAGGAGCTCATAGCAACCCCGCTGCGTGTCGTCAGTGCTCCCGCTGCTTCCTCAGGTGTGTGTGGTCCTGGAGGCGCCTCCACCTCCTGGCCCACAAGCCTGTGGAGGACTTGACGGCTCAGGTGGAGACTCCCCACCCGAGGTGCAGACCCCTCTGACCCTCAGAGCCTGCTCCCACCAGCACTTCTCCCCTAAACCTCCTCTCTCCCCTCATCCCTCCTCTGGCCATTGGAGTACTTGGGTCTGGATCGTTCTTTTTAATGCTTGTCCGTGCTCTTGAGCTTTGGTTTTTTTCCTGTGTTTCTTTTGCCCGCCAATGGGATTTTCAGCTCCTTGAGATCAGAGACTGTACTGTGTTCGGCGTGTCTTCCCGACACTCCTACAAGTACTGACATCTGGCGGGAGAGGGAGGCGCCCTGTGCACTGGTACCCGCTAAAATGCATTTATTAACTGTTTTATTCGTGGGGGGGACCTGTCTTCTGTGTTTGTCCAGGTGGCTGTCAATGGAAAACATACCCTGATCTACGCCCACAGGATCAGCCTAGAGAAGATCGACACCCTGGGCATTTATGGCAAAGTTATCATTCACTCCGTGGGTTTCAGCTTCAGCTCGGTCAGTCCCCTTCCATGGGGGGCGGCAGGGGGTCTTTGGTGATGTTTTCTTGAAAACTGTGTAAATATGTCCCTCGTTAGTGTGTTAATTTCTTGGAAGTAAATCTTTCAGACTAGTAGGATGCTAATCATTGACCAGGGCTTGCTTGTCTGTAGGATCTCAAATCTAGCATGGTTCCAACAAAAACCCAAACAGTAACAACAAAACAAACAGCCTTTACAGCTGGAGAGCGGCCGTTTCCCTGATGCAGGAGCGTAGTGGAGCAGTTCGCTAGGATTGTTTCCTAGAAGCGGGACGTCAAAGGGTACCTGCATTTTAAGTTAGGATTGAAATTGCTAACGTGCCCTCCAGAGAGAGTAAAACAAAGTAGTCTCAAGGTCTGTATTCATTTGCTCACATTCTTCTTCTTCTTCTTTTTTTTTTTTTTTTTTTGCGGTACGCGGCCCTCTCACTGCTGTGGCCTCTCCTGTTGCGGAGCACAGGCTCCGGACGTGCAGGCTCAGCAGCCATGGCTCACGGGCCCAGCCGCTCTGCGGCACGTGGGATCTTCCCGGACCAGGGCACGAACCCGTGTCCCCTGCATCGGCAGGCGGACTCTCAACCACTGCGCCACCAGGGAGGCCCCTGCTCACATTCTTCTTGACATTAGTTCTGATTTTAACATTTGCCAGCTTGACAGAGGGGAGAAGGTTACTAATGTTCATGCATTTTTGGATAATTTTCTGTCATATTTTCATGTTTAATACCATTTATAATTTTTGTTGATATGTCAAGCAGGTTATATTTAGAATTCTGATGGATGTTAAATATTAATCTGAACTTTTCTTCAGGATTTAAGAAGTAGCCAAGCATCTACTCTGGAATGGACAAAGATAAGTGAAGAAAATGTAAATATTAAATCTCTTAATCAACCACCAGTTTAAAAATGTTTTTTTAGTTGCCATGTAAATTAGGTGGCAGGCAGGCTGAGTTTTAAAAAAACTGTTTTTAATATGAAAACTTATATTTTTAGTAATTAACAGGCTGGAAGTAATCGTTCGAAAATTGAGGCATATACTTCAGGGTGCCAGGTGCTATAAGTTTTGCTGTTTAGACTCTCAGTGGATCTGACCACTACCCACCAATCTTCTGTACAAAGAACTCTCTGAACTGCTGAATAGGGCTGTCCGGAGGTGTTTATAAATAGTGAGCACAGCCAGTGCATGGGCAAACGAACTTCCACGTGTATCTTCTCCCCCTGTGGAAACAACTGCAGTTCAGACATTTTTTGCTGTTATTAGTGTGGAGAAAGTGAGGCCTTACTGATCTCAGCACGTTCCTAGACAGACTAGAATCTCAGCATTTGGGGAGCACCCTGGGAAGAACAAGGAAAATGTGTTTGAAGCCCACATGTGGCCTTCAGGAAAGGCTCAGCTTGTGGCGGAGGCTATAGGATTCAGATGAACAGGACAGTCAGTCTGTTCCCAGCCTGAGTGGCACTCTGCAGCTCCAAAGCACTTGGTCAGGAAGCACTGGCCACCTGCATGTCCCCCCGCCCCGGAGTGGAGCAGGCACTACCGGCCCAGGCTCTGGGTGGTACAGCCAGTAAGATCCAACTGCTCATGTTATAAAACGTATTTCTTCCGTCAATCATCTGTATTTTGTCTTTCTCTTCCAATAGGTACAGAAGTCTGGCATGTCACAGTTTGTAAGTATTTTTGCTATAACCTGTGGAACCTTTTATAAGATTGCCCAGGAAATGAATAGTTGAAGCTTTGGAAGACAGGTTCATTCATTCCATACCTTATTGCAGAACTGTTTCCCTACAGCCTAGTAATAGAGGAGACATTTCTAAAATCATCCCCAGAACTGTCTACACCAAGAGCAAAGGTTCGCCAGCCAATCACACTTTGACTTGCTCCAGAATACTACCTACCGACTGTTTGTCAAAGGTTTGAAGAGCCAAAATTTTCTTAATTCTGTCTAACAAGTATTTAATGTTAGTTAGCTGATATGCGTAACTGCTACCCTCAGTACAAGCCCAAAGCAGCCACTCTGTGTTTGCACTGGTGTCCTGGACGGCTATCAGTCAACCGGACATCAGGTCCCTGAGCCGTTAGTGTGTTTCTGTAGCTCCCCCTACCTCAGCCGCTTCCCCTCCGGGCTGAAGGCAGTGCACGCTTCAGGCCAGCCGAGGTGACCTTCTCAGAGGGCATTTCACTCAGGCAGAGGATGTCAGGTCCCTCCCCATTCATTTCATTGTCTGAAAAATGGAGTGTTTGCTGTGAGCCAGGGACCCACCTGGGACCAAGGCAGACTTGGTCTGTCCCTTCATGGGGTTCACGGCCTTTAAACATTTCCCAGTGTCTTCTGGCAGTTTTCCCTCAAGATCCCTTTTGCAGGCTTCCTGATGCTAACTGGGATTTCTTTGCAGACTCTGCCATTCGTAGCGAGGTTGAACTCCTCAATGGGCCCTGGACGGACTGTTGTCATAAAAGGAGAAGTAAATACAAACGCCAAAGGGTCAGTATCAGTAAGTGGCCGTAATAACGCGGCTGCTGCTGCGTGTCTCTTACAGCTGTAACCCTGTCAACAATCTCGTGAGGTGTAAGTCGGGCTAATGTCATAAGCTTCATTTGAAAAGTGAGACTGTTAAAGCCAGATGAAGTTAGACTGCTGACAACTAGCAGTTGGCGGCGCCTAGGCTTTTTGTGGCCAGACAGGAGGGTGGCATTTTTGTCCACGAGGCCCACCCTTGCAGAACTGCAGGGCAGCTCTGTGAGAGCAGATCACTTTTATTAGGGCTCGTTTCCCTTGCCATGGGTCTTATAAGATTCCTGCTTTTAGAACCTTTTCCAGAGGTGTTCAGAGTTCTGAAAGCTTGAAATGAGAGCTATTTCCTAGCAAGTAGTACACTTTGAAGAACAGGGCATTGTAAATGCTGAGACTTCCTGCTTGGAAGGACCCTGTTCTTGCAGCAGACGTGATCCTTTGGGTCGCTTGCTCTAACCGTTTAATTTCTTCCTGTAGCCTTAAACGTGGATCTTAAAGCTTTTCATATTTTTATTTTGCAAATAACATACTTATACCAACGGTGTGCTGACTCGGAATTTTAAATTTCACCTTCATCGGCATTCCTGGGTCCTTGTGGGTACATGTTTTGTGTAATCAGAGTTTAATTCTGATTGTTAAAATTGCAGAAACTCGACTCCTCTCTTCTACTTGGCTAATTAGTTTTTAAAAATTCTCTCAAAAGCTTTGCTGTTGATCTACTATCAGGAAAATCCAGGGATATTGCTCTCCACCTGAACCCACGCCTGAATGTTAAAGCATTTGTAAGAAATTCTTTTCTTCAGGAGTCCTGGGGAGAAGAAGAGAGAAATATTACCTGTTTCCCTTTTAGTCCTGGGATGTACTTTGAGGTGAGATGATTATCTTTTTTGAAAATGGGACAGGAAAAAGAATCCTGCGGGCAGGGGTAAGATGCAAGATAAATGGTCCATTTAAATTGAGTCCAACTTAATATGTGGAGGTTGTGTGTGGTTTTTGTTTATTTGGAGATTGTATTTTGAATGCCGTCTTTTATAACGCAAATAATCAGCATAAATGGCCAAGCCAGTCGAGTGCCACGTTATTTGCATTGGAATTATCTGACATGTTTTCATAATGACAATTTCTGTGTAACCCCATATTAGTTAATAGGAATTTGAACAGGAACCTTGTCTCAGGGCGGGAGTAGCGCGTTTAATCCTAAGTGAACGTGAGGATGTAGGAGCCATGAGACTGCCGGCACTATCCGTCGTCTCGGTGACACACAGCTTAGGTGGCAGTACTCTGTTCCAGGCGGTCCTGTTTGTATATATTCAAAGAAAGACACATTTAGACTACTGGGACTTGAAGGCATGTAGTCCTGAGCCCCCAAAGGTGCGAATGTTCTAACACAGCCTCTCCCCAGATGTGCTTCCGGGTAGTCTCGCCACGTGGATGCTGCATGGTTGGCTGGGTGCCCTCACCAGCTTACGTGACTCACTGCTCATGTGGCCATTTAGGGTCACTGATTTCGGTCGTGGCTTCTCTAGCATTTTAAACTGTCACATGCTCTGGACGGTTGGAGCTCGCAAGACTCCTCAGAGTTGTTAGAAGTGTGAACATCAGGCTGAACAGAAGGTGGTGATTTGGCATTAATATTTATCCGTAAGTTCCTGTCTAATGCAGTGCCCTGGTTTGGGGAGTGATAGACAGGAGCGAGCTCATCATAGGTTCCCTGGAAGTGGTGGGTACTCGTTTGGAATTCAGAAGGAGGTGGGGGTGTGAAGGTTATCTGGGTTTTACAGATTTCGGGGATGATACGGACAAGTCGCTGGAGGTCGGAAGGGCGGCACAGGGGTTGCTGACTAGGCGGCAGTCAGGGTGCGAAGGGTGACGTGGGTTCACTGGAGGGAGAGGTGGCTGCTCCGGCAGGAAGCTGATCCTTGTGGTTGGTGACTGGAAACTCGTGACCTGTTTTCTGGCCTATTTGAGCCCCAAGTTTGCGACTACTGTATCAAAAGAGGAAAATAACACATTCTCTTAAATAATCTTTTCCTTTGTTAGTTTTCTACTTCAGGAAGAGTAGTTGTCCTCACGTGGGATCACTGTTGTCAGTTTTTTTGTAGTGATAGCTTTAAACTCCTGCCTTTTTAATAGGCTTTCATTGAGATTCTCAGATCTTTCCATTAAAGCCATTGCTTTGCTTTTAAACAGTATCTTCTGTTCCGTGGCATTTCAGATTCACTTGTTAGTTCCAGCTGGAATCATTTAAAAACTATCTTTCGGTTTTGTAATGTCATCAGTGAGCTCTTTATCAAATTCATGTTCTTAGGAGCTGTTCAGGTGGTTGAGGGATCTTGGTGTTCCATGTTTGCATGTATGTACTTTGTTTTGCAACAGTGTGTCCACTAGGCTGCCTGCCATTTCTCTTCCATTTGTAACATAAGGTGCTGGCTCTGCACTTGCTCTTAGTCTAGAGAACTCTTTTCCCACTGCATCCGTCTAATGCCAGTTTGTTTTCCCTTCTGAGCATAAGGCTGTGTGTTTTGTATTCTCTTGAGATTTTGTTAAATGTCCATCACCAAAGGTCCCTTCCATCTGGTTGAAACTGGGATTTCCACCATTGTTGTGGGCATATAATCCCCAGTTATGGCTATTTTCCCCAGTTCTCTGTATAGCCCTGCGCCTTCATCTGTGTCAGTTATTGCTGTTATCCATGGAATTTCCCCCTCTTCCTAATCTCCCCCAGCAGCCATTTCCACTAGTCCTAGCAAAAGAAAAAAGACACTCCGTTGGCTGCTTTGCAGATCCAGATTTTGTGCCTCAGTCTGGCCTCCGGGGATGGAGGCGGGGAGTGCCGGGGAGAGCACAGTGTGGGTTCACCCAACTGGCCTCTGCAGTGTGGGTGGGAAACAAATGGTAGTCAGTGGCCAGACTGGCATGGGGAACATGGTAGCAGAAGTAAGAGGTTTAGGTGTACGAGCAATTTAAAAGGATCGCAGTTAACCCTGAAGGGCTAACACCAGTGAGGACTCTGAACTGAATCTCTTCCAAAACTCAGAGGTTCATAGAACACTGAGCTTTGAAGAGCTTTGGAGAAACAGACAAGAGGTGCTGAGCCAGGATGGGAATCAGGGTCACCAAGCAGCTCTGCAATCCCTAGCAAGTGACCTAAACTTCTGAGGTTTCATATTGTCTGAGTTGCCCAAGACCCTAGAGTTTGAGGCAGCAAAGTGAGGATCCAAGCCCCTTGGTACCAGCCTGTGACTGGGAACCAGCTCTTCTGTGAACGAGTGTCATGGTCAGCCACTTTCTCCTTCCCAAGTGTTGGCGAGGAGGGCGGCTTGCCACTTCCCCAGGAGCACAGGGCAGGAGAGGGCGCGTGCTGAGGACAGGAAGCCAGCAGGCCCTGGGGACAGTGTGAAGGTCCAGGCACATGAGAGCCACTTCCTGGAGTGGGACAAGGCAGAAAGTGCCACTACAGATACACGTTAGTCAGATCCTGGAAACTGCAGCAGGGAGTCGGCGCTGGCAGGCTGGGAGAGGAAACCAAATGGTTTACTTGACACGCCTGTTCATGTGCGGGAAGCAAACTCTTAAGCCCAGGGGCACCACTAATGTTGTGTATACTTTCCTTCCAGATGATAATTTATTGTGATGTTAGAGAATTCAAGGTTGCAGTAAACGGTGTACACAGCCTGGAGTACAGACACAGATATAAAGACCTGAGTCATATCGACACGCTGGAAATCGATGGCGATATCCACTTACTGGAAGTAAGGAGCTGGTAGCTGACCGGTGTGCTACAAAAACTGAAATACAGGTGACTTCTGTAACACTGGCCTTGTTAAAATGCATCTTACTCTCATGATACGGTTTATATATATTGTTAAAATGAGCTGTAAGTCCTACTGGGTGTCCTCAGTCCATGTCACGCAGTGAGACTTTGTCAAGCAAAAAGTGAGGACATTTGAGGCAACAGCAGCTTATAGCCATTATTATAACAGGCCTTTCTGCTCTCTCTCCTGTACCCTGGCCGCCTCTTTTTTAAACCTACTTCACATTCAGCAAGTGTTTATTAAGAGCCTGCTGTAACACAGTAGCCACCCTGCATGGAGCGCTTGTCTTTTGCCAGCACTGTGCTGGGAGCTGGGAGGACACAGTGAGGCACGTACGTTCCCTGTTCTGTTCAGCTCAGAACCTTCCGTGCTTTGCCACTGTGTCATTGTTTCTCCTCCATGCACTACATAAACTCACCAGGCACTTAAAAGAATTATTCTGTTAGATCACCTGAGGACACTATAGGCGACACCACTCTTCCTGCAGTGCTGCCCTTCATACCCAGTGTTTGATCGTATCCTGTAATTGAGAGGATTGATGTTGACCTACATCTGGCAATTTTCTTTAGCATAATATTTATATCTTCTAGCTGTAAGCATTACCAAATAATTATCATTATGAGATCGGAACACAGCACAAGATAGAGGCAAAAAACAAAGCAAAACGAACAAAACCAAATGGTACTGAAATTAACTTGATGTCAATCTCCAGGCCACTGATCTTCTGTACCAGTAAATGGTTATTTTAGAATATTGGAATTTAGGGTGAGTCAGAGGTCTCCTCTGAAAGTTTAAGGTAGACGAGAGTTGGATTCAATTTGTAAAATGTTTGTGGGTAACAAAGCAATGTCAAGATTAGACTTAATGATTGATTATAGAACAGGCCCTATCAATCAGAAAGTAAAATACACCAGCAGAGACCAGTGAAGTAGAGAGAGGCCGTGTGTGCCTGTTGCTTGTCTGCACGCAGACCAGCACTGCCTCTCCTCTTCTAAGACGACCCCGTCATCGTTAGTGACTGAGATCAAAACGCTGTTCTCCCTTCAGTGATTAAAATCAAACCTGTATCAGCAAGTTGAACTGTTGTTGCATTTCTGTAATTTTTTCTGTTATTCTTTGAAGAGAGTTGGCAGAAGTTCTTTGTAGAATTCTTACAGGTCAGATCTTGTCACAGGGAATTTCAGAGCCTTGGGAGTGGGGAGGTAAAAAGCTAGATCAGTCAGATCATTTTGTATTAAATCGCTGGGCTGAATTCTGCCAGGATTTGGGAATATTTTCGTAACAGCTTTTGGTTGGGTATTATTTGTATCCCTATAGTGGAAAAAATATTGTTACCAGTCTTACTTTTAAAAAGTACTCAGTGTAGCACTTAATTCTTTTCCACCTTGTCATATTAATTTATTATGCCCAGTCTTGCCAAGCTAAAACAAACAAAAAAACACTGGTGGAGGCGAGGATGTTGGGAAAGCTGTAGAAGGCAAGAAGGGTCTAGTATCCCCCAAGGTTTTTTTTTCCTCCAGAAAAGAACATCAGAGGGCCTGGCAGATGGTGGAAACGGTGGACCACTTAGGAAAAAAGAAAAGCCCACTTACCTTGTTTCCTGTAAGTCTTAAACATAGTTCATTTTCATTTTATGTGGATGATACTAAGACGTCTGACCATTTCTTTGATAGAATAAATACAAAATCTTAAGATTTTTTTGGAAAAGAAGCCATTAGCATTTATTAATGAATCCTGTTGAGATGTTTCATAAAGAGAAATATGTGTTCCTAGCAAACTCCGTCTCCAGACTGCAAATCAGCCTTTGCTTGTCACGATTCCACACTAAGTTTCTGTATTAAATTAGATCAAGGGCTTTCAGACTTGATTTGAACACCTATGGAACAGTGCTTAGAGGCCTTAAATTTTAAAAAGGCATAAATAAATAAAATGCCTTAAACAAAATAAAGGCAGATTTGTTTACTTTTATTTGCACCCTCACTTTGCAGCTTCACCATGACATAGTATAGAGATTAGAGAACTTCAAAGCTTTGAAAAAAAATCTGTTGTTTACTTTTTTCCTCATAATCCTTGGTTAACCACCGATAGAAATGTGAGCATTTCTAACCCTGAAGGGGCTCCCTCTTACCACCTGGTGTTTCTGAGCCCTCGTTATTTGTGGGAGCAGTGAGGTGTGGCTGTTTTATAAACAGCCTACTGCTTCCACCCCCTGCCCCCCAAAAGACTGAAGGATAAAGGAGAGACGATCATATTCTAGAGCAGAAAATGCATCCCACAACTACTCCCCTCCATGAGCACACGCAAAAATTAAGACTGCAGTGTCATCTACCCAAAATGAAAAGTAAAAGTCCAAATGGCTTTACAGTTGAAAGCATTCCTGTTGGGTGCTGAATAACTCCCATTTTCTTGAAGTAAAGAGCTGCTTTGAGTGAAATCTCTGACACCGATACTACGTACAAAAGACAGTCCTTTACCAGGAAAGTTAAGGCTTTACAGTCTAAACGGGGGTTAGCTTTGGGTGCTAAAATCAATCGTGTATGTAATGGTAAGAACATCACTCAGAAAAGACCCTCATCGACGGTCTTAATTAAACTAACAGCAGTCTGTATAAAAATACCATGTATCATTTACTCTTTTTGTATATTCTGTACAACTGGCAGGAGAGGCTTATGTGGTAGCACAAGCCAGGTGGGAATTTTGTAAAGAAGTCCAAGGAGGTGTTAGCGGCACCAAAAGTAATATGGTCCTAAACACCCAAGATAAAAATATGAAAAGTAGGTCTGACCTCTGAACAGTATGAAATACCAGAGATCAGGGCTTTAGAAGTAGCTCTGGAGCGGCTCTCCCAGGATCGTTTCCAGCCGCTGAACAGTCTTCTGGCACTGATGCTCCACCTCTTCACATTCATCTAAAAACAAAATCAAAATGAGTCAGTCTTCCTGCCTCAGTTCTCAGAGCCTGGTTCCTCACATCTCGCATTCGCTGGCCGTCAGTCAGAAGAGAGAAATGAAGCACAGTCCTGAGGTGGAAGCCATCCTGGAAACCCCTCCTCTGCCTTCCTCCTTCCTGCCTTCATTCCCTTCTTTCGGTCTAGGACTGGGGAAGCAGAATAAGACCCCAAAAAGTGGTGCACAAACGAAAATTCCAGATGCCTAGCGATGCCACTCTTAGTAGTTCACACAGCCCCTGTCCAGGAGGGAGGAAACAAAGGTGCAGGCACCTGGTTTTGGATCAGCAGTGAATCGCTAACGTGAAGGCATCTGTCTACTCGCCTCCATCACCCCGCTAATAAGCTGCACTGTTATTTCTTGGGCTGCGTGGTGGCACAGTGCTCGTTCTGCCGTCGGTCCAGAACTGTGCAAACCTGGACTTAAACCCCAGTTCCACCTGTCACACATTTCTATCAGCTAGATTACTTAATCTCTTAAAGCCTCTAGTTTTTTCCTTTATAAAAGGGGGATAACGGCATATGCCTTGTGAGGATTAACGACATCATCCACGTAGAGCACAGAGTAAGTGCTGGTCATTAACAGGCAGCCACCCCATTGCAGCCTTAGTGGCACTGGATGTTTTGGTATAATAACCCTATATCTGTGGACCAAAATATTCAATCACAGACATGCGTGAGGTTAAAGAAAAACAGTATCATAGTCTGCACCGTCAGCAAAAAAACACAAAAGTAAAGATAGTGAGATTATGCTATAAACAAATCTCAAATGACAATGAGGCAGCCCGAGCACCCCACTCAAACCAGGAGCTCAGCCTCTGCACAGAGGGCTGGAGACACGAACTCATCACAGGCTATCCAAATGTGCATTCTCATTGGGCACATTCCCACAGAAGTTCACTCTAATTATTTCTTAATAGTTTGGGAATTACCTTCCATCAATTCAGCTAAGAAAGGAATGGATTCTGGTAACAAGACGATATAATTCTCTCTTAGTTTTTCAGCCAGTGCCAGCACCGTAATCAGAGCAGCAAATCGAACCTGAAAGGGATAAAAAAGGTGAAGAATAATTAAAAAAAAAAAAAAACTAGTATTCTTGTATTACTTTATGATCTAACTTGAGATGAGCTCCGAATTTTAAACTGTTAGCCTCATGTGAGTTTATTTCACTTTCTGGCCAACTTTCATCTTGGAATACCAGTTTGTTTAACAATTCGGGATCCATCTATAATATGGGCAACCTTATATTTCAATCTGTGTTCTAGAATTACAAGCCTTTCATGTGAATGTCTTTTTATAACATTTTTCTTAAAACAAACCAGTAAAAATGCCACCTGCAAATTCAAGTGTGTCATCAAATGTGACTGCACTGGAGCCGCCAGCTGGCCTGGCCGCTGGTGATGCTGACCTGGCAGGACCGCGTCCCCAGCCACTGCAGGCAGGACTCCCGTCCTCAGGACCCTGACTGGGGTCACAGTGTGGTTGTGTGAGGGGCCAGGCGCCGGCTCTGCCCACACCCTCACCTCAGCCTGACTAAAAAACACACTCATTGTGTCATAAATGTCCTAGTTTTGGAACTTAAAAGATTGGACTGTTGCTCACGACTTGTCTCTGACAAGGAATGCAACCAGTTGTTTGTTTTGTTAGTGATTCACTTTGAAACAAAAGCTATGTTAGTCTTCTTTCTGGTTTTGGGTAATTCTGGTTTGGATAGAGCAAAGTGAGTTGTTGAAAAAACGTTTGTTACTGCCTATGTTCAATCAGGATTTTCTTGATATTGTACAATCAAAACAACATATTACAAAACAACAAATTTAATGCTGCAACTTTGTTAAGATCCTACAATTTAAAATTTGGGGGTTCCCATCCATACATCTGTGAAGAAGAATTAGCATAATAAGAAGAAAAATACATTTTGTTAATTACATTTTACTTCCAAGACCTTTCAAGCCAATGTAGAAAAAGAAAACTTTGGGCACTGTGATCCTTTCATGTGTAAAAAGGAAACTGAACTAGAAAAAATTAAAGTAATAAAAACATTAATCTGAAAAATAATAAATAAATAAAATTTGGGGGTTCATCGGAACAGCCTCATTGTTTTCATTACTTCCTAATAAATGCTGTGAATTTCAACTAATAAATTTATTAACAAAATTCTGCTTCAGTCTGTTTTATCCCCTGAGGTTCTAGTGTGATAATTAGCTTGAGGAATGGCAATTCATTGCTAGAACAGTTTGAAAACTTCCAAACTTCCGCTCATTCCCCCCGCCCCCCACGTTAATGGGCATCAACCGCTAGCCCTTACCGTGCGTTACTCCACCAAGTCCTATGCCTGAGATCGATACACAACAGGGACTCTGCTCTAATCAAAGGAATGTTCTGTAGACAAAGCATGCTGTCTCTGGGAGCACACTGACATTTAAATGGTGCATAAGAAACATGAGGAATTCAAGTCTTCAATATTTAAAAGTGTAAAGTATTTTAGTGCTCGTGCCTAGCACACCATGGGGGTGGGGGAGGACTGCCATTATTTATAAATGGCCTGTAAGAGAAAACCAAGTTTCCCAGGCTCAACCTTCTGCCTGACACAGCCAAACCCTGGTGCTAGAAGACACCCAGCAGTGCAGACCGGTGAGGCCCCAGGGAGAGCGCACAGCATCCCTGCTGGCCCTGCGGCTCCTAACCTTGGGTGAGGAGTCCCTCATCTTCAGCAGGATCTGGTAGTTCAGTGGTTTCCAAAGCGAGTCGTCTGCCATGGCCACTGCGAACTGTGCAAGGCACGGGATCAGGTGCTTCGTCACCCGCTCCTGGAACGTCTCTTCTCCTCCAAGCCTGTTTTCCAGCTGTTAACAGTGAGACAAGGACTGAGCAACGGGTCTCATTGCTGTTTGAGAAAATACTCAATGTATATAGTACTTTACTACCCTTCCTGGTATCAGCAGGCTCAAAAACCAAGGTGCTGTTTAGTCTCAAAAACCAGGTACTATTTGCTCTCAAGAGAAAGAGAGCAAATTTACTACCTTATAAGAACTCAAATGGAATCACAGCCCTTAGCATCATCCCTTCCCCCCTGCAGAACCTCTCAGAGGAGGGCAGCCAGACCCTGACACATTCTCAATGAACCCAGTTTTTA